CTGCATTCCTTCCAGCTGATTTTTCATCCAACTCCTATTATTGTTCAGTCCTGGGGAGCACAACAGCTGTGCTTCTGGGTTACAACGACCTATGTTATTATTCCTTTCTTCTACTAAGACAGAGAGTGCAAATTGACTTGGGGGTCCCATGTCAAAAGTGGATGCCAGGAACAGGCCAGAATTTATACACTTCCTGCACCACTTACAAGGTCCTATACACTGGTTCTCAGACTCATTTGACAGCAGATGGTCAGCAAGAGAACAGTAAAAGATTCCCAAATCTCTTTACTTATCTCTCTGTTTTGGAGAAATTTTCTGTTGTGCTCACTGACCTATTCCAGAGGTTATAGGTATCTTATCTTGGCGGGGTGGGGCGGGGGGTGAGATGGAGTCAAGTCCAGGCCCTTGCCCTTGTAGCTCCATTTTCTTGGTAAAAATGCAGCAATTAGGGTGATGGGACATATAACCCAAGCTGCAGATGGAGCCCACTTGGGTTTAGCAGCTGAAAGAAAACTTACCAGTGTTGTAGTGTTTTGTGCAGTAGCCGAGTTCCTTCTCTTCTTTTAAAATAAACTGAGGAAGGGTCAATCCTTCAGCAACTTGTACTGGACCATCACTCAACCACTCAAATATCAGGTCATTCATTGTGTATCCAACTGAGATAAAAAAAATGACAGTGAAAAATTGAATGCATCTTTCCAAGAAACCTTGAAAGGCTAGCCGTGTAAAGAAACAAACAAGAAAATTGTCTAAAGCAGACACATGCTCAATCAGTTTAAGAGCATTTTTAATAAAATAGCTGCAATCATCATGACAAGTACATGTCTTTGTAGCCAACAAAATTGAAGACAACAAGCTATTTCTGAATGATTTATTTCCATATAATGAGAGAATGGAATCTATGAAGTCCATTTGCTTCACTAAATTTTTCTGAAGAACAAACAAATATAAAAACCCATTGGAGACTATCTTTACTTGAAAGAGCTCTGTCTGTGACAATCCAATAAGACAATGCAATTCATGGTGCTAGCATTAATATTTAAAATGAAAAAAACTTTTTTTTTAAGAAATGAGAATGAATTCATCATAGGCCTAAAGCATTCCCATTGCAACTTGGCCCCTCTCCTAGGGTCTATTTGTTTTCAGAAAGCTTATGTTAAAGTTCTTATGGTCAATCCTTAGTTACTTTAGCATGTGGGGGAAGCTAGAGAGAGGTAACCTAAGAAGAAGTTGTAGAATATGCAAATCAAGCATATTCATTTGTTCTAGTGTCTTGCAAAATGGGTCCACTCATCACAATGATTAATATGAAGTAATTTATCTATATGTACATTCTCTATATGTAATGTCATATTGTTATATGACTCTTGAACCACCCAAAGTAAGATTGTTATCAGTTTACTAAACCAAAGTTAGTTCTTAGTCTCCAAGCTCCTTGTTAACTAGGTCATTATCTACAAAGTGCTCTGGATCTTTTAAAGCCCCAGAAATGAAGACTGCTCTTCCTTCAGATGCTATTTCTCTCTCCTCTCCCTTTGTGATATTTGAACACTAAAATTAGAGTGAAGAGTACAAGGAATATTATGTGAGGTTTTGCTTAACCAATAACCTCAGCATGTTTATTAAGTTTATAGATTCTTATCATTGTTTACTACAGCTTAGTGACTCACCAAAGCTACTCAGAATCAATGTCAATGTCAATTAGAATCTACTTTCCTCTTTCTTTGGACCACTTTTTCATTCAAAGCCAAAAATAATATGGGAAGCAAGGGATTACAAAACAAGGAATTGCAGCAGAGAGAATGGCCAACCCTATTACAATGCTATGTGAGTAGTTGGGTATCTCCAATAAACACAAGAAGATCATCAAACACCCCATATCTTTGTCTGGTGAGCTTCTTGCTGGCCACCATAATAATAGTCTTGTCAGTTACCCTGAAGACCCAGCCTGGAGCAGACAGACCAGGTAAAGAGGTGAGGAAGGAGGAGGTAATATGAGGGTAGAAAAGTAGAGAATAATTTCTGTCCTTCATATTCAAAGTTAGTGGTAAACACATTACTTCTTCTTTGATTTTCTACTTCTAGGTCCTGCAAAGACCAACCATATTTACTAATTGGAGTTTTTTAAGCCTTAGAGGAGCCTCAAATGGCAACTCTGGTTGCTGATTTATAGAGAACATAAGTGTTGGGCTGAGGCAGGGGTGAGTTCGGAGCAGTAGAGAAGATATGAAGAAGGAATCATTATGTAAGAAACAGTTTTTTCTTCACTTTCTTCTCAAGAGAAGAGGTTATGGGGGGGAGGGGAGAACACATAAAGTTTATTGTCAATCAGAAATTCTCATTTTATCCCTGACAACTTTTTTTAAAACAAAGACATTTTATTATTTTGTTTATTTCTGTAGGAAGTTTCAAGGGAAATCATGGTGATTTTAAATGATCAGAAGAAAACCCTGTCACTGCCTCTTTTTTTTAAAAAAAAAATAATAGTTGATATCTTTTGTATTTATTATTTTTCTAAACCAAGAAGTTAAAAGTATTTCCTTTCTCTTGCCTCATTAAATCTTCTAACATCCCCATAGGTCAGTAGGACTTATTATTCTCTACATTTTACAAACAAAGAAACTGTCAGAGCAAGCCAGAAAAAAATTCATGTGTCTTGACTGAACATGCCATTACCTTGGAGGCATTAGCAGCTTATGGCATGTGTCAAAGATTTCAGTGGCATCACGGCTGGGGCATAAAGGGGACTAAGTAGATAGCATTTCTCTACTTTCTTCACCATGCCTTTATGTGTCCACTGCCCATCT